TTCATTTCACTTGTATAATTAAAAATGAAATATTGATACTTCAAATCATTATGCATATTATTGTGAATAATATTATATGATCTAATTGTTTGAACATAAACCTGGCAATACTCAATAGATTGAAGTAAGTGTATATATGTAAATCAGTTGAGAATGTTTCAATACATTATCTTTGAATAAGAATATATGATACGATTTGTAATGCTTCTTTTTTTCTATCAAAAGAATACATAATCATTATTATATAACTACAATAGCATATGATGAAAAGAAAACAACAGGTAATATGTATAGTTAAATGACAGTTCATTGTAATCTTAATAAAATGAATGGATCATTTATGATATTACATGAATGGAATAGTAAACATTATAACAGATAAAGGAATAGTATGTATTCAAATGGAATTTCATATTCTATTAAGAATATATTATTGTTTGTATAATAATGTTATAATAATATATTCACAATAATTTATGTAGTTCTATTGTTTCAATTATTGTACATTAGAATATTATAAAGTTTAATATTAATTAATGGTTTAGTTTATTGAAATAAATACTTAATGAATTCAGTTCATTTATAACTAATTAGATTTATTCTAATGATAAAAACTATAAACAAGTTTCTAAATGAAGGATGAGAAAAAGAATTGTCTTTGAATCATATCATTAACATGTGAAATATCTTTATTGAGATCTTGAACCAATTGATGTTAGACCATCACAATTGAAAACCTGGAAGCACTGGACGGCCGTTTCGTCCTATTGTGAGACTAAATATGAATGTTTAATAGGGGTATTAAGTTATTAGATAACAGGTGAATTATACATTATCAATTGAATCAACTTAATAAGTTATCAAATTATGTTTAACTTCCTTATGTTGTATGTCAATTTCTTTATGAAGTTTTATTCTTTACATTTTCAACATTACCTATTCTACGTCTAGTAATCATAATTCATAATAACGTGTTATAATGAATTTTATAAAGTAAAACATAGTTTTGATGGAGTTTTGTTCTCTCTTAAACCATCCAGCTCAGAGAACAAAACTTCATTAAAATCATCCACCTGAGCTAGAACGTTTAACTTGATTACAGCCTTTTTGAGCATGTGACTTCCTTATTTTGTAAATGTAAATAAATCCAAGCTGAAAAATACATTTTTGTATAAAATATGTGAAACAAAGATCGTTCAGCTCAAAAAATGACAGGAATCAGGTTTTGTTTCCCGTAAGGTATGCAATAGTCGTTAAGATACATTAATTCACAGTGTTTAACAAGATTTTTTAGATATAACATTGTCTAAAATCAGTATATTATATAATAATCCAGAAAGTTTAACGTTACGAGGCAATATTCTTCATATAAATCAAAATTATGTTGCATTGCGTTCCGAATAAATACTCTTTATTCATCTGAATCAGTTTATTTAAGTCAAGACTTTATTAATATTCTTAATAGTACCTGGCTAATTTGGTCATGATGCTAAGAGTAATATGATAGGTACACCTGTCATATTCTGTACATTCAACTAACTACTAAAGTTTGTGAACAGATCTAGATAGTAATAATGATTTGCTTTTGTTATGATACATTGTTAACTACCTAATTGTAAATCGATTATGTCAATGAGTTAATATTCTTCAAACGCTTTTGAATAAACTCACGATTTATTTATATTGCAGTCAGTCTAAATGAAATTGTCTCTGGTTTAGCATCAAATGGTGTTGTAATATTTAATTGTTCCGTTTTACAGGGAAATTCTAGTCAATAGCTTTCGACATGCAATTATATTCGTTAATGATTATAATTTGATCCAATTACAATGTGCTAAATAAAGGAATATTCAGAATTTCATTAATAAGTTAGATGTTTTAGTTTGTTACTTTTCTTCCAATCCATTTGATTTGAAATTTTTCATCTTTAAGTTACTTCATCAATTCGAGTGAGAAGTCGGTAGTTATTTTGGGGCACGATTAAAACTCAAACATTTCGTAAAAAAGTTTCTTTACACTTGTTTATTATTTTTTGGAGGAAGATTCCAGGCTAAAAGAAGAAACACCATTGTCAACCCATATCAAATCATACACTTTTGAAATCTTCAATAATCGAAATCAATATCTGCAAATACAAAGCCATTCCTATAGTTGAGAATGCATCAGTATATTATTATTCTTATAAAGTAAACTATTAATTTCATAGAAAGACATGATATTTATAGTTAATGCTGTTATTTTTGAATTCTGATAAAAAATCACTGTTAAAATAGTTTTGAGTTGATTAGCAAAATTGATGTATAAATTTTTGACCGAAATATATTTCAAAAAGAATACACAGAAGTAAACAAACAAGTGAAGAGGAGCATCAGAACTGACAAACGTAAATATGTGGAAGATCTAGCAACGACGGCGGAAAAGGCTGCAAGAGAAGGAAACATGAGACAACTGTATGACATAACATAGAAACTCTCTGGAAATCGCCGCAAACCAGAACGACCAGTGAAAAGCAAGGAAAGCAAGGTAATAACTAACATTGAAGAGTAACGAAACAGGTGGGTAGAACACTTCAAAGAACTCTTGAATCGACCAGACCCACTGAACCCACCCAACATCGAAGCAGCACCCATGGACCTCCCGATCAATGTTGGCCCACCAACAATTGAAGATATCAGCCTGGCCATCAGACAAGTCAAGAGTGGCAAAGCAGCAGGGCCAGACAACATTCCAGCAGAGGCACTAAAAGCAGACGTAGCGGCAACTGCAAGGATACTCCACATTCTCTTTAATAAGATTTGGGATGAGGAACAAGTACCAAAAGACTGGAAAGAACGACTTCTGATCAAAATACCGAAGAAAGGCGATTTCAGCAACTGTGGCATCACCCTTCACTCAATACCAGGAAACGTTTTCAACAGGGTATTGTTAAACAGGATGAAGGACTGTGTAGACGCTCAACTTCGTGACCAACAGGCAGGATTCCGTAAGGATAGGTCGTGTACAGACCAAATCGCAACTCTACGGATCAATGTGGAACAATCAATTGAATGGAATTCATCACTCTACATCAACTTCATTGGCTACGAAAAGCATTTGACAGCGTGAACAGGACAACACTATGGAAGCTTCTTCGACACTACAACATGCCTTGGAAGATAGTCACTATCATACAGAATTCCTATGGTGCATTAAACTGCAAAATCGTGCATGAAGGACAACTGACAGACTCGTTCGAGGTAAAGACCGGTGTCAGGCAAGGTTGCTTACTCTCACCCTTTCTCTTTCTCCTGGTGATCGACTGGATCATGAAGACGTCAACATCTGAAGGGAAACACGGGATACAATGGACATCTAGGATGCAATTGGACGATCTAGACTTCGCAGATGATCTGGCCCTTCTATCCCAAATGCAACAACAAATGCAGGAGAAAACGACCAGTGTAGCAGCAACCTCAGCAGCAATAGGTCTCAATATACACAAAGGGAAGAGCAAGATTCTCCGATACAACACAGCATGCACCAATCCAATCACAATTGACAGAGAAGATTTGGAAGATGTAAAAACCTTTACATATCTGGGCAGCATCATTGATGAATATGGTGGATCTGATGTAGATGTGAAGGCGCAGATCGGCAAAGCAAGAGCAGCATATTTACAACTGAGGAACATCTGGAACTCAAAGCAACTGTCGACCAACACCAAGGTCAGGATTTTCAATACAAATGTCAAGACAATTCTACTGTATGGGGCGGAAACTTGGAGAACTACGAAAGCCATCATCCAGAAAATGCAGGTGTTTATCAACAGTTGTCTACGAAAATACTTCAGATCCGTTGGCCGGACACTTTTAGCAACAACCAACCGTGGGAGAGAACAAACCAGATCCCAGCGGAGGAACAAATCAGGAAGAAGTGCTGGAAGTGGATAGGACACAGATTGAGGAAAGCACACAACTGCGTCACAAGACAAGCCCTCCCATGGAATCCTCAAGGCCAACGGAGGAGAGGAAGACCAAAGAACACATTACGCCGGGAAATGGAAATAGACATGAGAAAAATGAACAAGAATTGGATGGAACTAGAAAAGAAGACCCAGGACAGAGTGGGTTGGAGAATGCTGGTCGGTGGCCTATGCTTCATTAGGAGTAACACGCGTATGTAAGTAAGTAATATTTCAAAAAGATATATATATATATATATATATATATATATATATATATATATATATATATATATATATATATAAGCAAGGGATTATTTTAAACTCTCCAATCAAATCTAGGTTCTAGATTAAACTATAACTATCAATCTAGGTCCATGCTGAAATGAGTGAGTGAAGAGATAAAATTATCAACATTCATTTTCAAACCATTTAACCAACTGAGCACATAATATTCTTGCATTGATCATTTGTACTATTTAACCTTGGATTAATTTTGATCTGAAGAAGTGGCTTACACTGAGTCACGAAATGTCAGAAAATTTAATTTTTTTACTCAGTGGGATATTACAAATATAAATTATCTTATCTTACTTATTTACATCTACTCAATGTTGTAATCATATGACTGCAAGTAGAATAACAGGTTTAACAAAACTAACCATGAATATCTTAGTTCATAACCACAGCATAGACTTAGATAGTGAAAATATCATAGTTTAAAAAAGAAATCCTTTTTTCATTTCTCACATTTACACAACATATCAAACATATGAGTGAAGTATTCTAGTAAAAACAATAACATAGCAGAATACTCAATGTCTTGGTTACGTGCAGTTCAATTATAAGTTTGTTTTTTGATAAAATAACTTTACGGGATAAAAACTATAAATTGTAATACCTAGATTCATCATAAAACATTTTTGATCTAATAGTTATTGTAGGAGCTATTTCATTTCGTTCTTATTCGATGCAACACCTAATTGAAAAATATATGAATACTTGCTTAAACATATACTTGGTTGGATATAAATAAGAAATTGAAAAGAAATATAATAAATGAATGTTTGTAATTATATTATATTTAGATTGTTTTAAAAACAGTAACATTCTTCTCTTCACATTTGAATGAAATGAAGTATTGAACAGGCATTAGTAATGAGCTAAAATACAAAAAATAAAATAAATTTTTTTTATAACTTCCATTATATCACTTAAATGTACATTATGATTACAATAAAATGGTAAATTTAATGCATAAAAACCAATTCAGTTTAATTGTGTTGTATTTAAAGATTGTTTAACAGAGAACAAAATCGACAAATAACCTTAGTTCGATATTTTGGGCAGGTATAAAATTTTCGGGATAAAAGCAAATACAGAACTTTGTTTCAATACGGTGTATGTTCCAGTCATTTTCAACAACGATAAACAATAAATTATTTGAGGTTTTTAATTTAAGGCATGAAAATATTTCGGTATTTTGAAAGTTGCCATTCAGACATTTAGTAAAAGACGAACAAGGCGAAGAAATTTCCCATCAATGAGTTTCTCCTAATGACTATAATATATATATCAATGGTTGAGATCATGAGTCAATTCAAGCTAGACCACCATGGAAACCTGGAAGCACCGGACAGCCATTTCGTCCTATTGTGGGACTCCTCAACAGTGAGCGTCCATGACCGCGCCTCGCGAGATTCGAATCCAGGATCTGTCAGTCTCGCGCACGAGCACTTACCCACTACAATACTGAGCCAGTCAGCATCAAACAGTGTTAATGTATAACTTCAACCAATCCACGAAATTGAGCTACACATACACTATTGTCTTCTGTGAGTTACTATCTCACAACAGACTCGTTTGAACTCAACTGCTTACTGCTTCTCACTAGAACTCCAGGAAATACTTATTGAAACCAGTTACTAGTGAGCATATGTTGATTAGTATCAGAATATTATAGTAATTTCAATGGTTCAGATCGTGAGTTTATTGAAGTTAGATATCAATACCATTAAATGCCGGCTCAGTGGTCTAGTGGTCACGCGTTCGTGCGCGAGACTTATAGGTCCTGTGTTCAAATCTCGCGAGGCGGGATCATGAATGCGCACTACTGAAGAGTCCCACAATAGGACTGGATGGACGTCCAGCTCCTTCAGGTTTTCGATGGTGGTCTAGCTTTAACTGACTCATGATCTCAACCATTGAAATTACTATAGTATCCACAAAAAACACTTCTGATATATATATATATATATATATATATATATATATATATATATATATATATATATATATATATATATATATATATATATTACAACAAAATAATGCTAATCGGATTGTGGAGTAACGTTAAAAGTGTTATATCATACCATAATCATTAGAGCAATAATTTGTAAGAATCGAAATATTCAGTCAAACTGTTCTTAGATTACGTAATATTTAAAATGGGAAATAACAAAGTAGTTTAATAAAAGTTGATTTTATAGTAGTTATTTAAGAGTCAAGAGACGAATATTGAGGAGACATGAAATATGAAGTTTAAAAAAATTAGAAAACCCTTTTAAATATTATTGAAAGGGATGGGGGTTTATCAAAATTTAGCTAAAACACACTTCAATATCGATGGCCAAGATAGAGAGAGGAGTTGTAAAAACTTTTTGTGGATATAAAGATTAAGTTTACAGATTTCGATCACGATCACTTCAGCAATATATAGAAAAAAAAACTCGTCAAGCATGAGGTAAATTTGATGGATGTTCTTCAAAGTCCTATTCAGTTCAAGTTAGTGTACTGCGACTTGAATTCAAGTAATTTGCTTCACTTGTAGTTTTCATCATCAAATTCTTGCTTACCTTTAGTTTATGTGTTTAGTTAGTAAACTAATTGCTGGATGGTAGAGACATTTTTCATATGAAGGAGTTATAGACCAAATTATAATTCTTGTAATTAGTTATTTTTTGTATAAGGCTTTGTAGTTGTAAGTTATTCATCTAGTTCGTTCTTTAAAGTCGTTTTTAAACATCACGTATATGAAGTGATAGATTATTATAGAATTGATTTCTTGAAGTAGGATTTATCACGTGTAATCGGAATACAAACTCAACGATTAATCCACAACATAAATAAGTACTTAGTAGACTTCATTGTCATTTTGTCTAAACAGGTGAGGATTTAGATTTCAGCCTAACAAATCCGGTTATACGATCGTTTTGTAGTGAGATACATGTTACTACAGACACTTCAGATTTATTCCTCTTTAAGTGGATGTTAATTATTATAGACGAAAATTTCCGAGACAAATAATGTTTGAAATATCATGAATCAACTATGTGCTTTCAGTGATGATCTTAATATCTGGCATCAAATAACCCTTAGTTACAAATATTATTTAGTGGATCTACGGGCTTGATCCACATAAAAAAATCTACATTTACTGTTGTGTGAAGTTTCTAGAAACTGAATTACCTACAAGTTTAGACAAAATGAATTTCACAGAATAATTAAGAAATACATGAATACAATGAAAATACTTACTAACCTATCCACATCATAACCAGTTATATAATGCCATGTAGGAAGATAACGTTTATTCAGTTTGTTTTCTATAAACTTTTTCATTTTTGTATATTCATTTCCATACATATGCAATGCTGCAATGACAGTGCTTATAACGTCCATTTGCATTTCTTCATCCATAATTACTTTTTTAATTTGTATTGATTTTTCATGAATTCTGAATCTCTTCATAATTTCTTAAAAGTAATTACGATTGTTTTATTTTAAGAATAACTTATATAAGTCATAATATCTATCACATGTGTTAATCTTTTAAAATTAACGAACATGTTTTTGATTGCATAGTATGTTATACGGGTTACATTTAAGTTACACTGGTTAAAAGAAAAATAAAATGTAAGCACACGAAATTAAAGAAATACATTATTAACCTTATGGGTGATTAGTTACTCATTCTCTTTTCGATAAGAATTCTAAAGTAATAACTTAGAGGATTACCAACTGATTAACATTAACTCTATGACTTGTTATTATAGTACATCACGTGTATAAATTATACATTGTTAGTTAAAATTACCACATCATGGTGAGCTGTTATTTTACTGGTATTTAAATTATGAACATCAAATGGTATGTGGTGGGTTAAAATGTATCTAGAAATGTTCTGTGTCCAAATTATTAGTTAATTCTTTATAAACATTTGTGTAGTACGTAGCGTTTTCGAAACTAATCAATGCGATAACTCTATAACATTTATCTTTTTAATATCATTTCACACTTTACAGTCATCAATGAACGAATCCTAACTCAAATAAATTGCTTAGTATCCACGATACTAGTGTTGTACCTTGAAAGTTATTTTGTTTAATAATTTGGTGATAATTAACGAGTAGTCTACTTTTTATTGGTCAATCTCGGTCAATTTACTCTGTTTAGGTTCACATTATAATTTTTAAGTTCTACAGGCATAAATTTAATCCTTTTTTATAACTCAAAAACTAGTGAACAATATTTTAAAAATTGCCATAAAAAAATCAAAAGCGAAAAATATTAACCAGACGAAATTCTCCTGCTACATAATTTATTCACATGATTTATCTTATTATTATTACTATACTGGTTATACCTTGGCACATTTCAAACTCTCCACAAAACCCATTCCGAATCATTCTATCCTTATGTAAATGACATTTTGAATTTATTTACAAAATGACACATTTTTGAAGTATTCATGCCGTAACAGTTTCAAAAGTTCTTCGTTTATATTGTATAACATTGTTTAATTCACTAGCGTATCTTATTTTGGTCCTTGTAAAATAATACAACAATTATGGATTTATAATTGTAAAGCATGATGGCGAAGTTATTGAAATCAATTTTCCTGCTCAAATATTCTTTGTTATAAATAACAATAACAAGTAGTAACAACCAGTCAGTTTTCTGGCATATGAATATCGGGATTTGGTCGAAATTATTTGTGTAATATTTAACTTAAGAAAGATATGATAAGTATTAGATGAAATGTTCAATAAATGATATGGTGGACAGAAATCGTTAGGAATACTCAAAAACAATCAGTGTAGTTTATTATAATTTATTGAACAGGGATTTTATATGACACTTTGTTTGTTCATTACAATTTTTCCGATAGAGTATGGTTAGTGGTAGCAGAAATCAAAAATATTTACCAAAGCTAATGAATACTTATAGTCATTTTAGGTATTCGGGTTGTTTGAAAACTATAGTTTTGAAATAAACCAATAATTAGAGTTACGATAGCATTTATTATTATCGACTTTTTCATTCTAGATTTTTGACGAAATAAGAAATCACATGCCATGTGAAAATTTTTTGTCCTTATGATTTTAGCTTACTTAATCAGTTACAATACATCGGTCTACATGAGGTGTTACATACGATTTCAAGCCTACACTCCTGAAAAATGCATGGATTACAGATTAAAAAAATGATAAACATGTGTTGAATTTTATTACTGATCAAGTGAAGCTCCTGATAGAAAAAGATATTTTGCAAAATCAGTTAGTCATTCAGCTACAACGTAGAATCAGGCACATATACGCATCGGTCCAAGTTGCCATACCTCATTAGCAAAACAAGATGAACACCAAATTTATAGAAGCAGTTACTTCAGTGGTAGTAATATATAAAAGAATGATTGGGTATGAGGTCATTATACAGGAAGAAAGAATTAAAAAGGTATGAAGTAATTATAATCTCGCGATTTAAGGGAAAATAGAGAGTGTATACACCAACACCATTGTGGTCGATTTTGAGCCATGTCACTCATAGTCTTCAACTATTGGTTACGATAGTTACACGGACCTCAATCAAGTAGTCTGCATCTATCAACATGGCTCAGGGTAAAAGTTAATGACTTCAATGATTGATGTCAAGTTTTGGTTTAGCAAAATAAAATTCTGTCTAACCTTACAGTTGTATAGGTTGATCAGAAATAAAGTAAATTTAAAAATTAACAATTTGGATCTTGAATACAGAATCTATTAACCGAAATTCACACACAAATTAAATCTTAAACAAAATTTATAAAATATTCATTAAAGGAGTTTATTACATGATTAGTTTTATAGGCTAACAAACATTATATTATTAATACAAACCTACTTTAAAGAAAGTTCATATCACTCAATATTAACAATGTAGTAATTTTTATTTGATAAAATATGAGATTCATTATAAAGTATTACACAAATAAAGACAGTTAAAAAGGGTAACGCATAATTTGTAACCAATTATTAATAAACTAATGAATACTAATTATAGATATAAACTCTTTATAAAAAAAGAAGAAATGAAATGTTATAACTAATCTTTACTTTATAACAAAACAAAACAAAATGGCCATAGATAAATCTCGTGCAGTAATAGATAAATCAGATATGATACCTGAAATGGAAGATGATGCTGTTTATGTAGCTGCAATTGCAATGGAAAAGCATAATATTGATATGCATATTGCAAGTTATATTAAACATGAATTTGATCGTAAATACAAAGCAACATGGAATTGTATTGTTGGTAAAAATTTTGGTAGGTAAGTAATCATTTACAAGAAATTAAATTGATTTGATTTAAAATTACAGATAAATTATATTTTGTATTCTGTATTAGTGTAGATTCTAGTGGAAATAGTTTTTTTTTCAAATAAGCATTTTGATTATGAATCCCCATTACTTAGTTACTGTAAGCGAACTATATCGAATTCCTTTTTTTCTTTCTTCACTTCTTTAGCTTTATACATCATGACAGAGGAGGATTTGTGAGCTTTCGTTTAAATGGTTTAAATGTACTATTGTTTAAGCTGGGATAAGTTTAAAATAATACCTTGTATGAATCGTCTATATACCGTTTTAATAAGAATTATGTGATTGAATATTTCTAGTTGTTATTAAAATAAATAAATACTTCAAGATTGTTTATTTTCTATACATTTTGCATGAACTGGAAGTTTGCTTAACATTAGTATAAAATATACAATAAAGATTAATTGAACTATGTTTAAATCAGAATCTATTGTCCATAATCAGTGTAATTTAGGAAGCTTAGAGTATATTTTATTGAATACAAAAATCCTGTTTATATTACTAAAATTAAAGGGAAAAGTAAGGTGTATAGCATAATTATCTAGATAAGTGTATCATTAATAGTACATGAAAATAATGAGTATGTTTAATTATTGTTTTCAATATATTTTGTTAATTAAATCAAACGTATTCAATTTTAATCAGATGGGGATTTTTTTTGGATATTATAGTAATTTAATAGTTGAATTCATGAGTCAATTAAAGATAGACAATCATTAAAGCATTGCGCATCCACTATCCTGTTTAGGAGTCCTATACTAGGACGAAACGGCCATCCAGTGCTTCCAGGTAGTCTAGCTTGAATTAACACATGAATTTAACTATTTTATTCAATTTTGTTGTAAAATTAAAGAGTGGTTAAACGTTATTTAATGGGTTCTTCTCAGTAAACGAATTAAGTTTTGTCGATTTTTACTGAAAATGTCGCATAATCGATTCTGTAAGTTAACGTATCAGGTAGTAATATCAGTAAATAAATAATTCAAACGTTCTAATTAAGAATGATGATCTACATTAAAACTAGCCAAAGATGCATTTCCTATTCTCAAACAGTATGGTTAAATGTTCTATTGCGTACTTGAAGGTAATCATTATGGTAAATACGTCAGTGTATCAGTGTCGTAAACATGAACATCAGTGTGGACAATCGAATGTATTAAACACGAAATAACAGGACTTGTTAATAAAATTGTAACAATCATAAAATAAATGCTTAATTAGAATAATGTCCACCAATTGTCTCAAAATGATTCAGACATCATTGTTCTTGCGTTTTCATACAAGTTGCATCCTGTTTCCTTCCTTTACTGTTCGATCCTCTTGTCTCTTTGCTACCAGACCTTCGGTTCCCGACTAACATCATATACTACTTATGTCAACATGAGTAGCACACACCACACCAGTAGTGTACGTAAATATATATTACCTAATATTATTTTTATTTGAAAATCCACTGTCTAATTACAAAATATTAGTCCAATTATGTAGTTGAGGCTTATTATCTTTAACTTCATATAAAATCTGTTCTTCGATAATGGAAAATAATGCTGTAGGAAATTACATCAAATTTTTAATTAGGAAAACGATGAAAAGTGTTAAAGTTTAAGAAAGTCTTCTAATGATTATTTATTCATCTATATGAGGTTGTGAAGGTTGTTGAGTTTTTTTATTGAGGTCATGAATCGATTAATTTTACACCACCATTAAAAACCTGGTATGGAATTCCTCAGCAGTGCGCATACACAATTCGAAACATTAGTTATTCCTTAAGCTGTACGTCATGAGGGATCGTTCATTTAAGATTTGAAGATAAGGTGATCTGTTGATTCATATGTTTTCTAAACACATCATCATCTAAGTTTATCAGGATTTTTTGAAACTGCAGTTTATAATCCCATTTTTATGTATACGCTTTTCGGAACTGATAAAGTGAATTTTATTTGTCCATCAATTCACACATCAAATTTTTTTTATATGATATCAATTTTCGTTATTTGACAGACTATTACATGAAACTGTTGATGAAATGGTGATCATGAAATAAAATAAATCGTAGTTCTTATCATTGTTGTTACAACTGTTGAGTGATAGACGGATGATAAATATTGATTTTCAGATAGTATTTTGCCTTAATGTTATATATCATTTGATTTAAAGTTATGTGTACCTCGAGAAGACTTTGTTACAAAGAGAAGGTTTCTGTAATGCATCGAAGTCTCTTGACAT